AAAGTTATCGAATATCAATGAAAATCGGAGTAAACATTTATATGAAAAAAAGAAACCAATAAAACAAATGAAGTTTCTTTTAGCTCAAACATACCCCTTAAATGCAACAAAAAGGTCCGTTTCCATCTCTCTGACTGAAAAAACTCCAAATTAAAAAAAATCGAACTTAACAATGCTTGAAAAACTGTCATGTGTCACTATTTGTCGAATTGACTAGACCACTATACCTGGAAAGCAATGACCAAAACTTGCACAATTCCTATTGTTGAAAGTTACATGATTAATGTAAGTTATGAAGAACTGAGAATGTTTTCATCATATGTTGATGAATAGGATTCAGTAAAAAGACCATTCAAGTATTTTAGTTTTAAATCACAAGGCAAAAGCCTACCTTACGCCAGAAATGCATCTTGTTCCAGAATTATTCATGAGACTTTGCAGTCGAATGCTAAAAGAGGCTGATGGTAAGCCAAAGACATAAACTAAAATTTGTTCATCAGTTAGTTCCAGTCAGTTCAAGCGGTACGTTGCATTATTTATAAATTTAGTATTAAGCCTAAAAAGGGCTCAAATCGTGACTCCGTTTTGAAGATTTCAAGCCTTAAATTGAAAAGATGCTTACATTTCATTTAAAAATGTTTTTTGTCCTAGCACTCCAAATGTTCGAAATTTTCTTATTCATGATTTTTTTTCTCAGATAACCTTTCAAATTCTCCATAATAACGCTTTTCAAATTTTAAAATAATATTCATTTTACATTCAATTTGGAACTGGTTTTATCGGTGGAATTGACTAAATAACATTGATGATACGAACTATAATTAAAATTAATGAGAAAATGAGTAATTAACCCTAATACATCTTATGTCTTTGCGGAATTCTCTGAGATGGTTAATGTTGGCGAAATTCTTAATTATAAATGTTTAAGCTATGTAGCAATCTGACTTCTTTATTGGCCGCTATAAAATGAAACATTTAATATTTAAACAATAAATCAAATTGAAGGCCTTTTCTTAAGAAAACCTTGGTTAAAACTTACTAAACAATAAAAATACATGAAAATTTTTAAACATGATTCATTGGAACTTAATATACAATATTTCACTGCCCTTTTAAATGAATTTAACTAGAAGCTTTTTTTGGTTTGATGATCATAATTGACGAATCGAAATGAATTCCAGTAATATATTGTTACTGATATTTACTTAGTAAATTGAATTTTATAAATTAACACTCAAGAGGAAATCGTCTAATAGCCCAAATACGAATTTTTGCATTATCTGCATCTGATATATTGACAGTTCAGATGCTTGGACCAAGCCATTGCACATTCATTGGCCGATAAGAATTTTATATGTTTTATTTCGTTACTCTCTCGACTTTTGATTATTTAATTAAGGATATAAAGAAAACAGTGACTAACGGCTGCAAGAAACTCACTCAATTATAATTTTGTATATTCAATATGTGTAACCGATATATATAGTCTAATTTAATGGTGGATAAGTAAACAATGCATAAAAAATTTGATTAATCAATTATAGCTAATGCTGTAGCTACAGTTGTATTAATACAAAATTAAAAAATATATTTGTCATAAAGCAAATTTACTTTCATTATCTCTATGTTACCAAATTAAGACAAAGTAAATCTTGTATTTAATTTAGTACGGCTACATCGCTATTGGTTCTTATTTCATAAAAATAAAAGACAATCTCTTAGCCAATATACTTGTCACCAAGTATCATTTTGTATTGATTGGCTATAAATTTTGATCTATCTGAACTAAAAAAATATATTTACATATAAGTATTTGAATTATATCAGTATCCTTGAAATTCATGAAATGTAGGATGCATTAGTTAATTATGCTCTTGATGAATGATGCAAAATTTCAAGCAATGAACAAATTTGATCCACCATGTTCCGTAATCTTAAAAGGGTGCATATGAAATGCAGATATTTTTGATTCCCTGAAATGAAATATCGAGTGTTTTCCTGATTAACACATTAGAACATTAGGAAAAACGCTTATTCCGGAAATAATTTTACATTCCAATGAAATTTATATTTTTTTGGGCAGTATTCGAGTCCATTTGAAGTACAATTTCATTTGCAAGTTTTTCGTTTGATATCGATTTGTAGATCACTAAATTATCATTCTTAAATTTTATGAATGAATTATTTGGTTTCCGGGCTTAGATACCTAATTGCTATTAGAGTAAATAATAAATTTTCAATTTCCATGAAGAATTTCGCAATTTACTTAATATTGTTTACAACGTTTAATTTGTGTTTGAAGGGCACAATATCCAGGAGTTAACTTATTTTGAATAATCTAAAGTGAGTACATTTTTTTGCATATATTTGATACTGATTCTCAATTATCAGATTGATTCGCGGATCAGTTAGCTGTCAACAAAAGGGTTTATTTGGAAATGGCTAACGTTGCAATAAATGGAATATTAGCCTTTTAATCACAGATGGCAGTGTTAAAACAGAAGAGTTTGAATGAATGGTTTGTATTAAATCATGGGTTCTTGGGTATTCAGGTCACAACTCAATAACCTAAAAGTATGCTTGATTCTATCAAAGGCAAACCTTATTTGGAATTAACGCCTGGGTCGGCCGATCTACAATCCTCAAAATGAGTACTGATATTTGACGACTAGGCGCAATCTTTAAAACAAACAGCATCTGGTTGAGAAAAGCTGGTTGGTCTTAAGGAACAGCAATCAGTATCAATTTTCCATTTTCTTTGAATACGCATGGACGGATTGAAGCAGATTTCAGAGTTGGTACAGTCCTTGCGAAAAAATCCTAATTTTATGAATTGCCAAAAGTGCGAAGGGCATTTAAATTTTATTCCCGCTGAAATTCGTTAGTATCAAGGGCATCTGAAATCCTGACTCAGGTAAGTGTCAATGGGACTTGTGTTTTTCCTTCCAACAAATTATTAAGCAAACAATTGGTGCCTTATTGTATTATTTCGTCATTGTCTACAAATTTTCTCTTGTTTAATTAAATTTAAAGAACAGTGTTACCTATTTGCCACCTTTTGAAAAAATTGTTATCCATTTAAAGGAATAAAATACGCGAAATTACGGCTTTTGAGTTTACTGTAACTTGTTGATTCACATGAAATTCCGCTGATGTATCGATGTATATTCCTGCAGATTTCTTTAGAAATTGCCTCGATAGTAGATGTATAAAGTTCGAAATATCTATTTCATTTACGCAAAGCAGGTCTGGAATTTATTAACTAAATTCATTGGGCTACATTAAGTAAAATTTTCTTTTTTATGTTATATTCCTACGCTTGCGTTGTAGTTCATTGGAATCTGCAGAATTTTTCTGTAATATTTAAATAACTGTGGATGAAAACTAGCTTACATTTCTCATTTCAAATCCCCCAAAACTTTGTCTTTCAATAGAAAACGTTTTAATTCCATTTGAATTTTATCATTAGTCACTTTTGTCCTTAATGGAAAAGTGAAGACATTTTGGAAGTTAACAGCACATTAAATGAATTCACCAGTGCAATGATCACTGAGTCGAGCTAGATTAAGTATTTAAATTTTAGACGCATTATTTCCACATAATTAGTGAACATTATATTTGTCTAAACTTTCTAAATTCCAAAATTTATTAGCCAACTTGCTGGTTCTTAGCCAAGTTTGTTTGCTCAATATTCAGTGTATATCGATTAAAATGAATTATGCTATTCAACTCTGGTGTCATCATTTGATGTTTCTGATTATAAAAATCTAGTAAACCTATAGCGGTGACATTAAGGATTTCAGAGAAAACTCCACACTACACACATTGCGTTGCAACTGAATATGAGAATCAAATGTTGAAGTTGGAGCATAACATGCACAAAGAAATTTGAGCCTCAAAGACTCTCCTTGTCCTTGTTAAAAGTACAATTATGTAGACGGACACTTGAGAGCACCGCTTCATTATAAGACATACTGGTATTCAAGACGTGCGTCCGAAAGGTGTGCGTTCCGATTTTATTATAACTAAGTATATCGGAAACATTTTTTTCACTAGATTTTCTCATGGAATAGCGCCTGAAGGAGAAATGTATTGTGATATGCCACAAAAGGCTAAAATGAATGGTAGGAATATGATATATATATTCTATCCAAGCCAACGAGATATTCCCTTGAACCGCACACTCCTGAAGCATTATTTCCACATATTATCGACACATCCAAAGTCTAATTTCCATGATATCATGTCAATTTTATTCCTGAATGTTTTTCCATTCGGGTTTCAGACTGTGAATGTATTTAAATCATATGGCTAGAGTGTATTTCATAAGTGCTCAACAAATATTGTAATTATTTTCATGTATTTAAGCCCAATTAGTATAAATAGTGCTTAATGCAGCGAATTATAAATGTTCCTAATAATTTCTTAAATATTTAAAGCAATTAAGGTCTATTTAATTATTGCTCTTAACTTAGAGATGCTTTGCACGAAATTGCATTTTCCGCATAAAAATACTACATTTTAATTTAGCGAGGTTAGTAAAGTGAGCTGTTAAATAAGCTGAATAACTTATCTCCCTTATTCTATTCCATTTGAGTTTTAGACCTTTAAGTTGAAAAAATATTAGACATCAATATAGAATATCTTATAAGGTAGCCAAACTACAATCATATTTTACTTTATTATCACATAAATTGGGATTGTTATAATTTTTGGTGTTTCTAATTGAAAACCGTACATCATGAACTTGACGTTGACCAATGAGGTTATGCGTCGAAGGAATATTTTGCCGACAAGAATGCGCGATTACGACTGGTGGGAAGATGTATATAAACACCACCAAACTACAACATTTCCACAAATTATATCTGGTAAGATAGATACTTTCTAATTCATTTCAAGAATTTAGTCCAGCACACTTCCATTTGGAATAGCAGTTAAAGCATATCCTTTAAATCATCTTTACTCATCTCAAGCTAAAAGACATTTGTAGGTGGAAAATGATCAACCAACTTCCTTTCTTCATCGTGGCGTTTCTGGTTATTTGTCTTCAAGGCCATAATGGTGCAGAGGCAAGATCTCTAGACTTAATGAAGAATTCCGAGAGTTGCAGTTTGGTTAGGGAGAAACTTCTTGCAAACATTGAGAGATTACAGAAATCCTACGAGGTGTGCTGGGGAAAAGCCTACGACAGACTACTACGAAGGAAACGTGCCCCAGAATTGATTTGGGATATTGAATAAATGAATTAAGCTTATGTATGGGTAATATCGTATTAATAAATACATTATCTGTTTATAATTCTCATTTTAAAACTTGGTTTGTTTATTGGGCAAAGTGAGGTCTGTTTTTTTTTATTCTGGAATAAAAACCAATTTGAACGGAAATATGCTTATCGAGCAAATATCCTGTGGGTATTGAATATTGAGGAAAAAAATACATTTCAATCAAACGACTTTCAACTATTCCGATGGGTGTTGATTACCCCAAATCGTAGATAAGGAATCACCAGTTTATTTCAATTGAAGTGATGCAATATCAGGAAATAAATAAAGGATAGTGTCTATTGTATAATGAATGAGTTAAAAATAAACACAAATTTAAAGTAAATGTGTCGAACAAAAAAGATTTTGCTATCAACATGAATATGACTTTGTGAAATAGAAATACTATTAGAAGTTCAAAATATTCTGTAAAATGGTAGTGTTACTAGAATTTATAGAAGATGATATGGATCTGAAAAAAATAGATTAAATATTTATTGGTAATGGTTATTTCTCCCCAACGTTTTCATACCTCTCTATGTTAATAAAAGCACTCAAATTCGTCGTAGGTGGAATGCGTGTGCAGCGTTGAAGAAATAGAAAAACAAATTAAAGGTTGTGATTTTAATTCCATTTAAAATGGTAACAAAATCTATTGTTTTTATATACACTAATTGCTCCTATCCAAGGCTTAAATCTCCTTCTACATAAAATATCTGAAATGAATTAGTGAATTATTCCAAAATATTGACTCAGCCTTCCATTTTAACTATTTGATTTACTGTGATATTCAGTCAGTTATAAAAAAATTTATATAATTAGATTTAACCAATGGATTTTAAAAGTTATTTGCAATGTGAAACACGTTACTTAAACCATTTTCTAAGATATTCAAACTAAAACATTGCAACTATTTAAGTCAATAAAAAATCGATATCTTATTGCATATTCATTTTTTGTACTTTAATGCTTTCGTAGTGTTCTCCTTCTCTCACACACATTAAAAGAGAAAATTTCATTATGGATAACTATCCACGGACAATAGTAATTTTCAATGATTAAGTTAAATGACAGTAAGAATAATTGAAACCAATTATGAACTTTATTCGAATCCACAAAACAATGTAGATTTCAAGGTTTTCGTCAAGATCACCTCGAAACGGGAAAAATCGCAATTTGGAAAAAGATTTACTAACGTTTTGATTTACATACTGTCTTCACAAACGCTGATTTAGTATTTATTAAGTGTTACTAGTCAAATAACACATGATTCAATTACAAGATTTGTAGCGAATTTAATCTGGTAATGATTGTTGGAGTTTAGTTTTTCTCCCAAAATGGGCCTTGAAATGAATTTTTCTTCTGTGCGAATAGATCCTAGACTCATGACACTTCACTTACGTTACATTGCGCTCAAATAATGAATTTTTATATAACATTTGAATTAAGTGAAATAAAATGCGTTTAAGAAAAAAACGGCCAAAAACAGTTTTATATAAGGGGATTCAAATATTTTATTAGATTTTCTCATGGCATTGTAACACGCCAATCATTCCCCTTGAAAATAACAAAAGTTGGGCTAATCTGATAAAATTATGAATTAAAAAAATATGGATGCAATGTACTTCATGCAATTGGTGAAAATTAATAAATGATTGATTATAAAAGACTCAAGGGTTAAAATTTTATTTGGCTATTTAAACTGATTTTATTTTATGTGATTTTAATTTGGTCATCAAAATAATGTTATTATCTATTTCACTTACAAATTGAAGTCAATTGCATTATCTAATTAGTCGTGCTTTAATGAATTTTGAAGACTCTAATCAGTTCAAAAGAAACATTTTTATCTTTTTTTCAAATATTGAGATACACCTTACGCAGTAGTCATTTGTTTCAGATTTAATTTAATCAATAAGTATAATTAGTATTATGGCACCTTGTTTCGTTGTTAAGCCTTTTGAATCTTTGAGGATCATGGTTGAAATCAATTGTAAATTATCCAGGATTTTTCATTTTTAATTGCTTTAAATCATCTGGCCTACAATATAATTTTTTTAAGTTGGGTAGAATGGAGGAAAGGGTTACACTCCGTATTTGCTCTCGGTATCGAAGGAAAATGCTTCGCTATAATTTTAAGGTATTTTAGCTAATTCCTGTTGAGAGGGAAATAGAATTTTAGTGTAAGAACAAAGGTGTTTTACAGATTAAATTATTGACATTTTATCAATTGGCATAAGGTTTAATTATTATTGTCTTTGATTGTTTGAGAAGTTGTGAGATGGAGAAAAATTTTGTCTAAATGCCTAAATGACTGGTGTTTCTTTTCTGTGGGAAGTTAGGTACCTTTCGTCTCATATTTTTATAAATTTCATTGCGACAAAGTATAAGATTTCATAATTTAAAAGGTTATAAAATCAAGAAAAAGTAGCATAATAGAAGCGAAATATTCAAAGAGCTGTACTCATTTGTGTATATCAACCGTTTCATACGAGGTAAAAATGACAAACAATATACCTATATTCCAGAGTTATGGGGTGTGAGATTGACTTACCTTCACGTTGTGCACCCTGGGCAATGTACACTCATACGGCACAAAAAGGTCTATAAACCGACACTTGATTTATCACTTCAAACTACCATGTTCCCACTGTAATGCATGTTCGACCACTTCCACGGTACTCATTTTACCTTTTATCTGCCTTTGTGTCTGTCTCTCTATTTTACACCTGTGAATCACTCTTCTGTCCCCCCCCCCCACCAATTTCCCCACTTTGATGCTTTCCCCCTTTGTGGAGCCCGAAGTCAGCCAAAGAGCTAAATGAACTATCAAAACGCCTGCCATTTGAAATAAACAAATGATGTTCCAGAGCACTCAGTGTTTTGAGGAACAAAAAGAGGGCACCATTGAAGATCGCCGTACAACTTAGACGAATTAATGACAGTTTATTTCTGTCTGGTATTTAACACTTTAGTAGATGCTGAGCTGACTGGTAGACGCATAAGCAAGTTTTCCTCGGATTATAACAAATAAATGCCCATGACAAAATTAATATTCCCATCAGGCGAAACGAATGATAAATGACAATAATATTAAGTAGATTTAGAATAAATTTGGTTTACGAGGACGTTTAAGTATTGCAAACGTGTTTAGCTAAAAGAACTGAATACTAGCTCCTACTACAGGCTCAATTTGGTCTCTGTCTTGCTCTCATCCTTCAATGTTAAAGTGAAGGGGGTCCCACAACCTTCCGCTCCACTGTTCGTAAACTTGGATTTTGCAGTACTGTCACAATCATATTGTCTTTTCACAAAATTTGTTAAAGGTACGTTTAAACAAACCAATTTGAGTAAATATATTTAATTATTTCAAATGGCAGGCGTTTTGATAGTTATCATTAACCCTTTAGCTGACTTCGAACTTCACAGAGTGGATGAGGAAAATCAAGGTGACAAAATGTCGTGAGGGGTGAAAGAATAATGATTCACAGATTTAAAATGGACAGATAGGCACAAAGTCATAGAAAAGGTAAGAGGTCGAATATGACAAACAGTCCGTTCATAGTAGTTTGAATTCAGAAGTCAACGAACGATAAATTGACTTTTTGCCGTAAAAGTATTCGTTATCCTATGTGCACCACATAGAGGTAAATCTATTGCGCACCCCATTT